TGGAAGCATTCTGGATCTTTCGTGTGATTGGCTTATTTGTCCGGTATTCGAGGAGAGTGGTGCAGCCCTGAGCTCGCCACCCCTCTCACTCCTCTTCAGTACCAGCATCATCAATCTGACTCGGGAGTCAGCAAATATTTAAACATGTTCATATTTCCATTCCAGGTCTCTCGCGGTTGGAGCCGCACAGAGTGTGAACCTCTGAGGTAGGCAACACAGCCTCCTGGCATCTGCAGCATCGTACTGCTGCTAGTGCACAACGAAATTATGCTGACAGGTTATGAGCCTCGGCTAACGCACACACTACGAGCTGCGAGCATCACAGGAAGATCGAGGCAACCTCCTCTTGGGACGGACATCAGCCTTCATTCGTGCACAACGAGAGGACGTGGTTTCGGAGATTTCTGGAGATTGCGACGCCGTGATCGGTCAACGGCACCACAAGCAAACGCGCAAACTTGGTCATCTCCACCAAGGTGCTGAGAGTTCACGTCGTATACACACGTTACCACCGCTGCGGCAGCAGTGGGTACCTCTGTGGTGAACTAGCAGCAAGGGTCACGTGCGCGGGAGTCTCGAGCGGCATACGCATCGGGTGTATAAGGAACCACACTGTATCATCAGTGGAGGCGATCAGCAACCGGAGTCAGTCCTCTATATCAGTAGCAGGAGCGGGGTGGGGAAGTCTCGGGTACAGGCAGTAGTACCACGAGCAAACTACTCCTGCAGCAGGAAGTACTTTTATCAAGACGAAGAAAAGAAAGCTGGAACGAGCAAAGTATACCGCAACGAGCAACACAGGAGGTGGAAGCGCGTTCGCCAGCGATAGTTCTACAAACCTGGCAACTGTGATCAAAGGCCTCAAGAAATTCGACGGAAAGGACCCAGCTGAGTTCAAGACATGGATGAAGAAATTTTGCGTGATGTTAGCCTTGACCAGGAAGGACATCCTGCCACTGCTGAAGAAACAAAGGAAGCCAGATCCTGCAGACACAGCGGCCTTCGACTCTTTCACAAGGGCAAACGAAGATCTCTACGCCATTGTTTTCCTCCTATTGGAACTTCCAGCCGCCTTGTCGGTATATTTCCTCTGTCACACAAGTAAAGTCCGTTATGGGGGAATTTCCATGCCTCACCCGCCAAGGTGTTCCTGAAGCTCTAGTTAGGTTTGTTGGAAAGCGCTTGTTACGCACATAACTTATAAAAAATGAAATAAAAAAAACCGACTCACAATTACTGAGGATAAGTGTGTCAAATACGGGACTATTTTGCGAATATTTTGGGAATATTTTGAAAACATTTTGAGAATATTTTAAAGAATATTTGCAGCTTTGTGCTGTGTGAGCACCCGCTACCACCACAACGACGTAGCTATCATAGGGGACGACGCCCAGACACCCCCACGTCGTAAGCGGGATGCGGAAGTATCGTTGGGTCGTCCGTACGCCATGGCGGTGGAGATAGCCTTGGCGATTCCGCCGGGCAAAGAAAGGGTACCCAAGGGCTTTCTAGGCCCCCAAGTGTCTTGGTTTTAGTGTGGGCCTCGAAAATGTCTTAATTTTAGTGTGGGTTCACTACTATTTTGGTTTTTGTATGGGAGGACGCGAAATAGATCGTTCAGTAGAGGTAACCTTGGGTTTAGGGTTCGGGATAATTCTTGTCTTTTTTTGGTATGTTTCGTTTCGTGCCCCCACCCCCACCCTCATGGAAAGGGGCAAAATACGGCCTTTTTTAGCCTGACTACTTTTTTGTAAGCCGCTAGTGCATGCAGGGTAGTGCGCAAGAAAAAAAAAAGAAATATGGGTTTCAACCCGAGAAACGCTCAAGATTTCAAAAAAAGTATCGCCAAAACATCGGACACGGCTAAATGGCCGTGTAATCATAACGGACTTTACTTATGTGACAGAGGAAGTAGAAGCACGAAGACGACACTGGCATCAGCGGCGACGGACAAGCTGCCTTCGAGGAGCACTGCAAAAATNGGTATGTTTCGTTTCGTGCCCCCACCCCCACCCTCATGGAAAGGGGCAAAATACGGCCTTTTTTAGCCTGACTACTTTTTTGTAAGCCGCTAGTGCATGCAGGGTAGTGCGCAAGAAAAAAAAAAGAAATATGGGTTTCAACCCGAGAAACGCTCAAGATTTCAAAAAAAGTATCGCC